TTCCCCATGACACGGGGAAGGTTACCTACTTGGGTAACTGGGTAGAGACTAGAATCCTCCCATTGTCCAGGAAAAGCAGACATCTGGGAAAGCGGAACATGTTACAGATAGCAGAAGCAATGAAGCTGAGGAGAGAGAGAATGTTTGTGTGTGTGGACAGCCTAAGGGAAGGGGACTGCATGTCTGAAGGCTGTCACCCAACCCAGGTCACCCAGGAGTATGTGGTGTGAGGCAAACTCATGAGATGAATTTCATACTTATGTGTTTAGCTGAGACCTGTTCGATAGGGGAGAAGTCCAGTAATATTTTGATTAATGACTTCCTTGAGGATGAAGCTCTTTTATACAGACAGCTCTATTAGAAAAAACCTCAAGCCAAAATTCCTTCATAAATCATGCAAAAAATGGCTCCCTACACAACAGGAATAACTCAAGCGCAGTCTTTATTTGTCTTTGGTTAGATGCTGATAAATAGGGTTCGTCCTTAGCAAAGTTGTAACAGCTGAACTTTATCTTCGGCTGCATGTCTTTTTGCACCTTCCGTTTGGATCTATAGCCTTCAGGGCCCCCAATTTTAGTCACCACAGAATGAAAGCACACATCTGCTCTCTTCATCTCTCCCACTAACTTGGCTTTGGATGCCTTGGGAATGAAGGGGTCACCGCACACTATTATCAGTTCATTCCCCTTTTCTCATAATCCTCCCATAACCCTGATTCTTTGCTGCTAGGGGAGGAAGCTCACTGAGGACTTTGGAGCCTCTGGGAGTGGATGATGCTATGTTGCATCTAATGCTTGTTGGATCCGTAGCCAGTATGCCATAGCCAGTATGCCATAGCCAGTATGCCGTAGCCAGTATGCCATAGCCAGTATGCCGTAGCCAGTATGCCGTGGCCACTATGCCGTAGCCACTATGCCGTGGCCAGTATGCCGTGGCCACTATGCCGTAGCCAGTATGCCGTGGCCACTATGCCGTGGCCAGTATGCCGTGGCCACTATGCCGTGGCCAGTATGCCGT